TGAAAGAAAAGAGCTGTAATGCAGACTAAAGTTGAGAAATATCTAACCTGTGTCAGCCGGGAAAGAGAAAAATGTCTCTTGAGCCAATGTGGCTGAACATAAACCAACATCAGGGCCCTAAAGGTCGAAGAATAACTAAACCAATGTCCTAAGTGGAAAAAGAATGTGGCACAATCTCACGTGCCCTGTACACAGTGCACAATACCTTAATAACAGCAAAGGGAACTTAGTCGCATGGTAAAGGTAGAGATGGGTAGGAGGGCGGTGGGTACAGCTCTCAGAGTAAACTCCAAGGGGTTACCCACACAACCAGGTAAACATCATCAAGCTCACAGGGAGAGTAACAACATGACACTAGGCTCAATGGAAACCATCAAACGGGTACCGCCAACTGAAAGGGTAAGGGCACTCACACAAGGGAGCACACATAAGGTGAGTTTTGAAGGGGAGAGGGTTATGCCGACGTAGACATGTGGCCAAAAGCCGCGAGCAGAGAAAACGTACACTCCAGGGGAGGGTACGCAACATAGGGTAAGCAAGAAGGGCGGCAGATGAACCCACCCACATGAGTAGGGAAAATAGGGGTCCTCATGCGATTGCTAAGTAAGCTCGAAAATGAGGGATGGGTGGGAATGAGGGAAACTCCGTGGCGGAGGGGGGAAATGAAGAAGTCCAATTGATGAAACTCAAACCTGAAGTTGGGTCGAAGTAGCCGGGCTGAAGTAGGAATAATATTGAAGCCGAGTAGTACGGAACACAGCGACATGTACTCTGTTGCTGGAGAGGCGCACTGAAGTCGAAGGTCGACGTAGATATCGGAACCGGGAGCTGCTGCATAAGTGTCTAAGAATTGTAGGGGATAAAGGAGAGTTCACTCACGATAGCGAGAAGGAAGTCGGTGGGCACACTTAGGGCGAGACACATAAGGAGGCAGCAACTGAACGTCATGGTTCGACTGCATGAAAGAATGAACCAACCAACGACAAGAGAATCAAACAAGAGAAAAGCCCCAGACCTGGCCTAGGCGGAAGTGATATACCGGCCTCGGTCTAGGTACTGGGAAAACCAATGGTACCAGACCGACGGACCAGGATCATTCCGATGGCCTGAAACTAGTCCGGCCTAGCTGCCGGGTCTCAGGAGGACCGCTACAAGATCCTCGGACTTGTAAATGGATCAAATGATACATCAAACATGCTATCCGCTGAAATTGCAGAACCCAAAAGGAAGGGCAAAGAAGCAAGCTCCATGAAAAAAAAGAGATGTAATGCAGACTAAAGCTGAGAAATATCTAACCTGTGTCAGCCGGGAAAGAGGAAAATGTCTCCTGAGCCAATGTGGCTGAACATAAACCAACATCAGGGCCCTAAAGGCCGAAGAATAACTAAACCAATGTCCTAAGTGGAAAAAGAATGTGGCACAATCTCACGTGCCCTGTACACAGTGCACAATACCTTAATAAAAGCAAAGGGAACTCAGTCGCATGGTAAAGGTAGAGATGGGTAGGAGGGCGGTGGGTACAGCTCTCAGAGTAAACTCCAAGGGGGTACCCACACAACCCGGTAAACATCATCAGGCTCAGAGGGAGAGTAACAACACGACACTAGGCTCAATGGAAACCATCAACGGGTACCGCCAACTGAAAGGGAAAGGGCACTCACACAAGGGAGCACACATAAGGTGAGTTTTGAAGGGGAGAGGGCTATGCCGACGTAGACATGTGGCCAAAAGCCGCGAGCAGAGAAAACGTACACTCCAGGGGAGGGTACGCAACATAGGGTAAGCAAGAAGGGCGGGAGATGAACCCACCCACATGAGTAGGGAAAATAGGGGTTCTCATGCGATTGCTAAGTAAGCTCGAAAATGAGGGATGGGTGGGAATGAGGGAAACTCCGTGGCGGAGGGGGGAAATGAAGAAGTCCAATTGATGAAACTCAAACCTGAAGTTGGGTCGAAGTAGCCGGGCTGAAGTAGGAATAATATTGAAGCCGAGTAGTACGGAACACAGCGACATGTACTCTGTTGCTGGAGAGGCGCACTGAAGTCGAAGGTCGACGTAGATACCGGAATCGGGAGCTGCTGCATAAGTGTCTAAGAATTGTAGGGGATAAAGGAGAGTTGAAGGTCACTCACGATAACGAGAAGGAAGTCGGTGGGCACACTTAGGGCGAGACGACTTCACTGCAACAACATGCATAACCATGTCCATGGGCTGAGTGTCTGGAAATGGATTCAAAGCGGGTCCCGTGTTGAATCTTTCAACGCACGTTGAAAATGTGGTACAACGGCATTTAACCGCCAGTTTATCGCAATTCACCGCAACCCGTAGATATTTTTCTTCGTGGCAAAAAATTAAGCAAACATAGGGTTGTAGATCTTTTCAATGTCTGCAAACTTATATTTTTTATTCTATTTTTTTTGACTTGCAATAACCCATGCAGTAAGCCCCGCGGGATGTCTAAGGGCCTTGCCAGGCCACATCCAGACCCAAGTTGAAGGGGAGAAAAGACCCCTATGTGGAATCAGGGTCTGAGCGGGTGACAGTTGACCAAAGTTAATTGCCCAACGTCCAACAATCAAAGTCAAAATGGACCCAGCCCAGGCCGCTGGTCATACACACACACTTGTTTGTATGCATGTACCCAGACAACATTAGGTCCAAGGGGAAGTCTGCAATTGCACACAATCCAGACCCTCGGTTGTGAGGCAATCTGTACGACTGTGGGAAGGAGACTTGAGGCCAGACTGCCTCGTCAAACACTACATAAGGCTTGGTCTCCAGGAGGTCAACATTCAGCGGGTTCGGCGGGTGCAAGAATGGTGCATGATCCGATATATCGACGTCTCAATTTTTGAAGCGTGTCATCTTCGGGTTGGAAGTGACGTGCGTCAACAACAACCTCGTCGACAACTTTGAAGGATGGTCAATGCGAGAACGGTTGGCGTGAGTCGCCATATGAGCCTGGGAGTTAGCAATGCTCTCGCGAGCCTTGCTAAGAAACACATCCATCTCCTTTACCCAGTTGTCGAGAAGCAAGGCATTAGGTGTCGGGATGAATCTGAGATGGATGAAGAAGATCAGAGGGCACACGAGGGTGATATCCCAAGTCACAGTAGTAGGGAGACATGCCAATGGCTAGTGAAATAACATGGTTATAAGCGATCTCTGAGTGTGTAAGGTGAATGTCTTAATCAAAGTCATTCACAACAAGCTTTTTGAGGTTACTCCCAAGAGTTTTGTTGGTGACCTTAGTCTGGTCATCTGCCAGGGAATGATAGGAGGAGGAGAGGCGGAGCTCTGAGCCATAGATCTCATGAGTCCACGCCCAACGTGAGAAGTAAAGCGGGGATTGCGATCAGAGACAATGCTAGTGGGAAGACTATGGTGAATGATAATGCGATTGAAGTATAGGGAGGCGATGTCTTTGGCTGATCTAGTATACTTGGAAGGGAGGAAGTGAGCATGCTTAGTCAACCGACAGACAACGACGAAGATGGCATCGTGATCTCGTAGGGTAGGGGGACGAAGAGGACCATGAAGTCCATGGAGACAAAAGTCCAACGCTGAGTAGGAATGGGTAAGGGCTGAAGAAGACCGTAAAGGGGGGGGGTTGGTAATGTTGGCCTCCTGGCAGATCTTGCTGGTGCGGACATACTCCTTTGTGAAGGGATGACAGTGCTTCCAGTAGTAGTGGCGGTAGAGGAGGTCGAGGGTCTTGAAGACACCGAGATGACTGGCGGCATGTTGATCATGACACTCAACGACGACCCGAACATGGAGGTGGCCGACAGAGGGCACACATAAGCGGGGAGTACGGGTACCTTGGCGACCAAGCCAATATAGAAGTGGGATCGAGCTGGAAATTAGGGACGGTCTTGCCAGATTGTAAGTTAGCGTAACTGTACTGAAACTCAGAATACCGAGTGTATGCGTGACAATACTCATCCATAACGACGGGGTGGATGCTACGAATATAGATGGCTCAGAGTTGACGATCCTCGTATTAAAGACAATGACAAGATAAGACATCATCGACGTGATTGCTCTTGCTGAAAATCTTTTTGATGTTGAGGTTGAAATCTGAGAGGTCACGCCACCAACGAGTCTGGCGGACTGTGAGCTTAGGCTTCGTATGAAAGGTGGCGAGAACAGATTTGTCCGTCAACACGGTGAAGGTGTGACCATGCAAGTGATGACGCGACTTCTTTACAACGTAGACCAACTCAAGGACCTCACACTTTTCGGTAGTATGCTAGTAAGCTCAGTGGGAAATAGCTATCGAGATAGATAGGCATCCGGACATTGTCCATCGCGAGACTCGACTGTACCGTCATCAACAACGTCAAGGATATATGGGGCTGGGGCCCCTGAAGGCGTGCGCTCGATGGGTGCCAGATGAGCCGCGGCCGTTGGAGGTAGGGGAGGGAAGCGAGGAATGTGAGGGGGACGAGACTCTGTGGAGTCAGGAGGAGTAGATGGGGTAGGGTAGATCCGAGAGAGGACATTCCAATAGCGATGTCGGATGCGTCCGTGGTGATGATGAATGAATGCGAGTACTTAGGTAAGTGTAAGACAAGAGCCGAAGTGACAAGTCGCTTGAGAGAGCGAAAGGCGTCATCATGAGCTGGGGTCCAATGAAAGGGTAGACGTCCGCGGGTCAGAGGGGTAAGTTGGGAAGAATACTGCACGTAGTTTTTAGGGAAGGGGCCGTAGTAATTGGTCATTCCAAAAAACTACGCAGCGTAGAAAGAGAGGTACGAGTAGGCCAATTAACGATGGCGTGGATCTTTGAGTCGTCCATATGGAGTCCACGCTCAGATACCTGATGCCCGAGGAATTCGACTTTGGGTTGAGCGAAGCGACATTTGGAGAGCTTCACATAAAACCTGTGGTCGCGTAATCGCTGCAGCACAGTTCGAAGATGAGTCAGGTAATCCTCTATGGTACGACTGTAGATTAAGATATCATCGATATAGACTAGAACAAAGTCCTCAAGAAGGTATTGGAATATTGTGTTTATAGCCACCTGGAAGGTGGAAGGGGCATTGCGGAGACCGAAAGGCATGACGTTGAACTCGTAGTGCCCAAAACGAGATCGGAAAGTGGTCTTGGGTTGGTCCTCCTCGACTACGCGGATCTGGTGATATCCGCGGCGAAGATCAATCTTCGTAAAGAGGTGATTGCCGGCGCGACGGTCAAACAGATTGTTAGCACGGGGCATGGGATAACTGTTTTTGACCGTGTAGTGGTTGAGACCGAGGTAGTCAATGTAGAGATGAAGGGTGTCGCCCTTCTTGCGATTGAAGAGGATAGGGGCACTCCATGGGGAGGTACTCGGTTTAATGAAGCCCTGACGAAGCAACTCCTTAAGTTGCCGCTTGAGTTCCTGGGCTTCGAGAACCGAAAGGCGATATGGGACGCGATTCTAAATGCGATAGTTGGGCTTGAGCTGCATGTGGTGCTCGAGATCGCGCATGAGAGGAATACTGTTGTAGGAGACGGATGAGAGGAAAACATCGCGATACCCATGAAGGAGGGCACCAACGCTAGGCTGCAAGGAAGAAAGAAGGGTGTCTAATTCCTTCACCGGTGCGTCTGAAGCAGAGGTAGAGAAAGTATGTGTGGAGATAGGGACTGAGGGTGTATCAGTGGTAAGGGAAGCGACACAGTGAGATGGGCTAGCAGGGTAAGAGGAGGGTAAGGAAGCTAAGGAATTATGAGGGTTGGGGGGCTCAACAGGTGGTGGATCGAGCTCGACAAACTCAACATTCTTATGCATGGAGTTACAAATGAGAAAATCCGTGATGTCAACAACACAGTGTTCGACATCCGGCTGACAAAGGAAGTAGTGAAACTGGGTACGTGTACATATGGTAACACTAACAGGGGGTGGATGAGTAGAGTCTGATTTGCCCAACAATGGAACGTGGTAACACTTCCTATCCTTGGAGTCAAGGATGAGATCGTTGTGGGCCCAATCGGGACCGGAGTGGGCGAACTGGTGGGAGTATGCAGTGCCGAGAACAAGATCGTATAAGGTTTCATTGATGTCGAAGGTCCACTGGTTATGGAACCGAGGAGCCTTGCGAAGACTGTAGGGCATCCACAAAGGGAAGGAGAACGAAAAATCAGGCACCATGCAGTCGACAAAGGACTTGGCCTGATTGTGACCAAGCGTGACAATGATAGTGGAAGGGTATGGGGATGTATAAAGGGATGCCTCCTTAACTACACGAGGATGGATGAAGTCCCGGGTAGAGTCGAAGTCCCATAGTGCGTGATGCACTCTGGTAGAGGTCCCAAGGCGCACTGGAATAATCGGTGAGGTGCGATCTGGATTGTGTAGGCACTGAGACATCGTGGACAGGGTGCGCTCTTTAAGGCGAAGACGTTCTTGACGCTAATCAAAACCAAGCGATCTCAAGTTATGGCGGAACCAGACCTGGGAGCGGACAATCATGCAAATCCGGCTAATAATCCCCTGCACTTTGTCGCTCCACCTTTAGAGGTCCCCATCTTCTCTGAAGGACGAAACTGATCCACGCACTTGGCTGGCCGCCTTGAAAGCTCAGGGATGGTCATACCAGCTGCTTAAAGAGCGCATTCCCGGGCGATTGGCGGGAACTGCGTTTGAATGGTACGGGCAAAATCCTTATACTAACTGGTGGAGCTTCCAAACAAATTTTCTTGAACGCTTCGATCACATTGCGCCCGGGCAATGCGTGCGCTTGATCAGAAAATACACACAGCAGCCCCGCGAGACCCTCGCCAGATACGCAAAGCGGTTTACCTACCTGGCTGAACGTTTCGGGGTCGAAGAAAAGATGGTGTGGATGGACTTTGTCCAAGGGTTGGTTGACTCTCAGCTAAGGAAGAAGATCCGTAAGAAGTGCAATCCGATTGAACACACCTTGTTGGAATTGATCCAATATGTTATTTAATATGACAAGGAAAATTATGATGTAGGGCTAGATTCCGAATTGGACGACGATGACCCCTCTGGCGTCTGACGCCATAGCTACGCCGCTACAGCCCGAATGTTCGAAGACCGTTTCAGATTAGGACCGACCAAGAAAGGATTGAAGGCCACCTTCTTCTTCGTAGGCTTCCAGATGCCGTCCCCAGGGAAATGAAAAACTGGAAGTAGAGGAAATCATGGTGAAGGAGGTAGCCGCCCAGCTCGCAACGGTTGTTGCGCCCCTAGCTTAGTTTGTCTAGGGACTGCAGAGGCAGAGAGCTATTTGGGCCCAAAGACAATAAGCAACTATGGCGGTTAGGGCAGTCGTGACCAGGATGGCCTTAGCTAGGGCCGCTCAGCCCATGCGGTGCAATAACTGTAATCAGTCGGGCCACCTTGTTAAGGATTGTCCAAAACCAAGGTGGGCCCTCCCAGATCCCATTGGAGGCACCCACCACCGCAGGCCAAGGAAGGGTGGTGGCTGTCATTGATACCGGGACGTCCGAAGTTGTGGCTCCTGCGGCTGCCGAAATTGGGTCCGGTGAGTATATGGCGACGACCATGATTGAACCCGGGACCATTGGAGTGATACGCCATATCCAACGGATCATCGAAGAAAGTGACCTTGCACCTTGGAGACCAGGGTTCGAGGACCACAAGGCGTCAAGGCTCGTGTATAAGGACGGTCAGATTGACGTCTTGGACGCCATGAAGGCTCTGGACCTACGGATCCCGTACCTATCCACTATTTACTGACAATTTCGGAGGCGGCTAATAAAAAACTGATCGAGTGATGCCTAAAGAATTGATGACGATTCAAAGAAGGCCTGAAAGGCAAGAAGTTAGCCATAGAAAGCCGACTGGCTGCCACCGAGGCGCAACCTTCAACCCTGTGACCTCCAGAAGCAGCGCGAATTGGAATGATCCAGACTGCAGATCAACCGACGGAGAAGCCCGAGGTATTCCTTCGGGCCTACCCGATTACTTGGAGAAGTCTTGAGTGTGACTGCAAAGTCTAGGGAAGCCCCTCGTCAGCCATGCTTGATTACGGATCGTCGACGGTAGCTTTTTCTTGGGGGTTAACGAAGCGCTTGGGACGAGAGGGACAAATTCAGCCCCTCCGATCGGATGAGATGTATGTGTCCGCTACGGAAGACAGTACCAACTATAAGGGACGAATCACGAATGTACCTATACGGGTTGGTCGGATTCATTGTCAGTGTGACACGATCGTTCTAGATGTACAGGCATATGATGTGCTGTTTGGAATCCGGTGGCAGGCAATGGTTGGAGTGTGAATGCACTTTGACAGCTCGAAAGTGGTGCTGCCCGTACGATTGGGTATGTCCCGACTCTCGAACGAACCGGGTACCCACAGAGAAACGATATCTAGAGGCTAGGACGGACGACGGATTTTCACGAAGTGTCCGCAAAGCAGAGGTCTAGATAGGCCTCTTGCTGCTACGGTGATTGAAGGGTGATCCGTTAATGGAACTCACCAAGTCAAACAGCAGAGAGTAACAGAGCGGGCTACTGACTATCGCTGGCAGGAATCATCATTACAAAAACGAAAGAACAATGACGACATAGGGTATAGCTGGTTGACGCAACTTGACGGTTCCACACCCTTTATCTAGGTTCGATGGGACACGAGCAGCACACGAAGAGGATGCGGTCCACTTCGCCGTTAAAATACAATGAGAAAGCCATTGAGAAAAAGGGATGGTACTGGTCGGGAAGTCGGGACGATGTCAAATTCCGTCCATGATTGCCTGGCCTGTGCGGCGGATAAAGCGCCCGTTCAAATGCCCCGGACAATGGTGCCGACTAGAGTGGAATGTCCCTTCCATAGAGTTGGCATCAATGTGACGGATATTAAAGTACCAAAGGGTCCCGTCGACCAAGGCGAGCAAAATGTCCTCCTAGTGGCCGTCGATCATTTTTCGAAGTGGATCGAGGCCTATCCAATGACTAGCCGGAACTCACTAGAGGTAGCCTGGTATATTAATCGCTTCTTGTGTATGCATGTAGACGTAGAGGAGATCCATATGGATAATGGATTTGAATTCCACGGGGAAGCGGAATGACATCTCATACGGGCCGACGTAAGAATTTCTTACTCACCTGGACATTGGCTGTAGGCCAATGGGCTGGAAGAAAATGCCAACCGCATGATTAAAACCGCCCTTAGAAGAAACATTACCGTAGAAGATACCAGGCCTTGACCGGTCATAGTCCATCATATCATGGCCGTCTATCGGGTTACCCCACACAGTAGTACCGGGGTGTCCCCATTCCAGCTAAGGAGAAAGTGTCCCACCGGTCCAGTGGTCACCTCTCTTGGGTACGGAAGTTAGGTCGACTAGGATGGAACATCGAGACAAGGCTCAACACTACATGGATCTTATGACTACGACCTACCCGGCGTTGGCCCGAAGGCGACAGAGGGTTGTCGATTTGACGCATCAGCGGCAGATTCCGAGATTACGAAAATCGACATGCATCGGCGGGCTCACTGCCCGACTATCAAATCGGGGATCTCATGCCGGTACGGAAATCTGCGTGCTCCTCTAAATCCATCATCGCTATACTGGCATTTATGAGGTGACGGAAGTTGGTGCACAAGGCCAACACTCCGTAAAGCTCGCTCCTAGGCACAACGCTCAGGGCAGGCTTCTGACTCGGCACGTCGCTGCCCTTCGCCCATTTCGGCCATCGCTGGACCATGATCAGACCCCTACCCTATCTACGCCATCTCCCTCTTCTTCTTCTTCTTCTCCTCGTTCTGCTTTTGAGACCTTGCACGCTCCCACGTCCCCCTCGAAGTCCTAAACCCCCCCACCTGATCGTGCATAATGAGCAATCGTGAGCATGAGCATGAGCTGGTTGAACAATTCCAGGCGCCAATTGCGGAGCATCTATTGCGCCACTGATACACTAACGATCAGCAGCTGCGTTATGACATTCAACAAGTAAGGCACCATCGCCGGCCATTGTGGATCTCGCTGCATACTCACTCCTATGTGATCGGCTGACTTATGCGGGGGTATACTTCGACGTGACATGCATGCCCACGGGGGAATCGACGCGGGTGTTCATCGAGTTCCGCACGCTGCGAGTGGCCGTGACATTCGCGCATATTGTCACCACGCTTATCGGTGACTTGATGCCCTTATCAAGCGTAAGGGAGCCAGTGAGGAAGTTCCTGCGGGAGTACGCCATTCAGGCGGCCAGATCGGTAGCTTGGGTGCAAGGGCGTGCATGCCATCACTTCTCGACTTGCGAGTCTTTGCTTCGTCGGGTGCAAGGTGGTTAGCCGACTCTTGTTCCTCAAGTGCCTGCACTTCTTCCTCCTTCCCCTCCTCTTAACGCCCAAGGTATCCCGCCTCCTATCTAAATGCCTCCCTTCTTCTCCTATACCACTCTTTCCCATCAGCCGATAGCGAGCCCCTATCGTATGCATGATTTCTCGGAGTACTTGGTGGATCTGTTTGACGTGGAGCCACTACCATTCGCAGATGAAGCCGCGTGGGAACTGCATCGAGCGCTATACCGATCGGTGGTGCTGGGAATGTTCCTGTTTTACGTGGAGCACGAGGAACATGATGTCATCAAACAACTATTGGTCTACTATGTGATCGTGAAACTCAAGCCAGAGCAGAAGCAAGGAAAGGTGGCGCTTTACCCGTTCGCGAAGATCCGATCAGACAAGGCGGTTCTCTTGGAGCACATCCACGTTGAGCTATTGTCTATCGTGCAAGTGATCGCCATCCAAGAAGGTGATCTCCAAGTCTGATTGCGAGTAGTGGCGGCTCCGAGGTGACCATACCACGCAGTTGTCGTTCCATATTATATTGCTGGGGCGGGGGAGCGAGTGATAGACCTCTCAACTTCAAGAAACAGTTGCGGCTGCCCTCCTCTTACCCACGTCAAGCGCCCCCAAGGGGACAAAAGAAGGTCGTTAAGAAGTGACGCCAACGGCCATCGCCCTAGGCAAAAGGCAATCGGGTGGGTCCGGAGGCAAAAGGCAGTCCGGCTGTCTCCAACGCGGAAGTTAGATGTCGCGCTAGAAGAGCAAATCACGCCCATCTTCGGGCCTCCGCTAGGGGAGGAACTCTTTGCAAACGAGCCGCTGTTGTATCTTGAGCAGCGTCCGAGTGTCAGCAACCCGGAGAGGACATTGTCGTTGCCGATCCTGCCAGACATCAATCTCAATGGAGCCGGCCCCTCAGCACCCACCGGGGGAGGAAGAATGGAGGGAGTACCACATCCCGCATTCAACCTCCAACCCCCCATCCTTGCAGGACCTTTCTGCTTCCGCGTGCCACCCAAGAGTGCTGCGGTCATTTTGAGATTAGTAGTTCCTCCGAGCAGGAGCATCCACCTGACCGACATCGATTACATGGTGGAGCCAATGACCATCCGGCTCGAGGCAATCGGCGGTGCCCCGCACCCTGATCTTGCTGGATGGCATTTCTACAACCGTTGTATGAGGGGTGCGTGGCAACCAGACTGGCGGGAACAGCGATCTACGAGGCCAGGAGGCGGCCAAACATCATGCATCACCTCTTGGTTTTTGCTGTGCTCAGGCGGGAGAGACGAATGCATACTGAGACCCACCTAGTGATGACGGGTTCCAAAAACCGCAGTGTGCGACGATGGATCGTTCGAGCGATAGCGGATCTGGTGCCACATGTGTTGTCACACGTGCCTGGGACTTTCCTGTACCCCTCCTTTGTCCAACATCACTTCAATGAAGTGGATGCACCGACCACACCGCCCGCTTTAGCAGCCTTTCTCCCCCCTCTCCCTCCGCCTCTTAATCATGAACTTGATCATTTCGTCTAACCCCTCCTTTTCCTCTCTCTTCTCCTTCTTCTTGATTACTCTTCTCATGTCAAGGTAACTATAAAAAAGTGCACGAAGACTCACTCTGTAAAGAGAAAAAGGTTAACGATCGGGGCGGCTGAAGATGAATTGGCCGCGCCGATCGGTTGTATTTATACGATGGAGGCGTAAAAGGGTGCAGGATGCACCTTGAGCAGGTTAGTCGGTGATCAGGACGAGCTGACGATGAAGAGGCCGCCTTGTTCATCAAGGAAACGGAGACACGTGGGTGGCAGTCGGGAGACTGCCAATTTTTCGGAACCCCTTGCGCATCACAGGTGTGATAAGCTAGGATCTGTACCTAGCGGCTTCACGTACCCTTTGGAGTAAAATCCGGAGTAAGTCCCAAAGCCCGGATTTTAGTTGATCAAGAAAGCAGGGTCCATTTTTTCAATTGTGAGGGACTAAAAGCCTGCATCTTTCAGAATTGCCCTTGTGCAATCAGACTTGTTTTCAAACACACTTTTCACACATGTAAACAGTAATGCAGCATACTGGTGACATGCGCCCACTCAAAACTCAGAGATATGGTTTTCAGATACGAGTTCACTCCCAATTGGCTATGGGGACCTCAGCGCCCAAACATCTCACTGTTCACATACACTGGATCACCCTGGATATCCCACACGCATCACTCTAACACACGAGCACACACACACACTCACTACTAACTACAGCTATGGCAGCTATGGCTGCCTCTAACCTATCGCTATGCTAACTCCTCCTCTCTTGCCCACTGCGACCTCCGGGCTCATCTGCAGACCTCCTTGCACAAGTCGCTGTGGCAGCGCTTCCGCATCGCTCACGCAGGAATGAATGAATGGCTGGGCGCTGCCTCTTGATTTATACTTCAGAAATTCGTTGGTCTGCCCTTTGCCATCGGCCCTTGGTGCTCACAGTCCCCCTGTGGTACTTGCTGGACTGGACTGGGACTCTCTAGACCCTTCTGCTGACTGTAGGCAGTGGTACCGTCGACTCAGTGCAGTTGCACTGAGGTCCTACCTGTTGACCTTGCCACTTGTCTTCGTCTGAAAACGTGGGCCTACCTTAGACTCACCACTTGACCACTT